TGCTGGCACAAACAGTATCGCTATCGAAGCAGATATTCTTCGTAGGGTAAACCCTTCTTGAGATGCGGCTTGCATTCCACTTCCATTCAGAATCATAGTGGCCTAATGAATGTAGTTTGACCTATACAAGACTTATGCGTGCCAGCCAATGTGGAGGTCAGTATTCTTATCCTCCCAGCTGCATCTCGTATCAATCTACCGTACCCGTAGGATGGTACGTTTGGTCAGCTTGGACGGGACTCCAGCCGAGACTGACCCCGGACCACGCTCGTGGTCACCGAGCCACTACACTACTTCCGACTCACAAACGTGTAATATCTACTGACACCTACCAGCTCTTACCATTCACAGGAGCAAAGGAGGCGCAGTTCGGCCAGGGTAGGGGCGAGGACAGAGGATATTCTGTACTTTCATTGCTCCACTAGTTCCGGTTTGCATACTTTACCTGATGAAACCTGTGAACTCCTGTGAAGCTGGAGCAAGCTCATCGAGCCACAATGGTGAAACCTGTCAACTCACGAAAAGGCTCTCTAGATGGGTCGACACGTCGATGGGAAGTAGCAAAAGCGCAAAATGCCCCTCCCTCGTCGCCGAACTGCGCCGCAAAGGAGTCGTATCTGGCAGCTGGAAAGAGGTGGATCGTAGTTTGCCGTGAGAGAGTTTTTTCTGATTAATGGTTCTCACATTTCACGTGCCCCCACCCCAATGGTTTCCTAGTTGGCGGTGCCACAATATTACTATTGCAGAGTGTTGATCGGAAGTGTCTTCCTTTCTGCCTGCCAATCGACGCCTAAATTTTGGAGAAGTTGGAGAGATGGTAGGTTAGATGGAAACGTGGTACACCAAAGGGGCGAGCTTCTTGTGGTGGTGGGGAAGGGAGGGGATACTCCACGTAGATTTTTCTCAATCCTTGATGGTCCTTGATTTTCATAAGTTGGTGTAGCAGCATCACAGTTTTCACCGAGCATGATAAAGAAGAAATCCTACCTACCGTATCCGTAATCATTTTCAATGAAGTTCTTCTGGAATTCGCTCTCCATAGCGCTCATTCGCTTGAACTGATTGATTACTCGAACACCTTCTGACTCAAGAACCAGCAGATCATCACTACACTGATTCAGAGGGAATACGACACTTGTTGGGCATTTCACGTTGAACTCCAAGGCGACCTTCGAACGAATACCATCGATCACCTAGAAGAATTAAAGGTTAAACCCATGGTGTCAATTAGAAAAGAAGAACCTCTATATATAAACCAGAAGTTTCATGTGTGACTGTGTTTGGCTGCGTGACCGCTTTAAATTGGGGACTACCTAAAAAGGAATTACTTCGAGGGAACTGATTAGGGAACCATTAATGCTCGGGGTGGATGTGGCATGGTTAAAATTCACAGAGCATATGAAAGACGACCCAAGCCCCGCCCACAGTGGGCGGGGCGTGCAACAAAGTGAACGGTTCCGAGGATAAAAATTCTCAAAACGCATTTAGAGCAACCCAGGAAATGGCGAATATTAGTGGTGGTCAGTCACTACTCGTTTTCAATCGTTTCTCAATTTTCTTTTCATTTTCTTAATTTTTTAATCAGTAATCATTTTCTCAACATTGTCGCATCAGTCATTCTGGTCTTCTTTCATCAGGATCATTGATGATAACTAAATAAATTTTGTATTTATACCCTCAGGGAGTGTCTTTATCTATTAAAATGATTTAAATTTCTTCGTCACGGAAAAATTACCCCGATACCAAGAATACTTCGAACGGCCCTAGTATAAACTCGCACAGGACTACTCGAATGAACTGCCTGCCTCTACGTAATCGAGAAGGAATCGTAATCAGACAGAAAACTTCACAATAATCGTGATCAGATCGCACAAGCCAGTATTCTCTCAGCTGTATGGCGAGCAAAATGTAGCTTTTCCAGGGTAAGTCGCCGAGATCCTGCTCATCACTTTCTCACAAAACACTCTGATTGAAACTCAGTCTCTCTCTCTCTTTTTTTCTCAGAAAATAGACAGAAGAATGCCTGAGACATCTAAAAGCTGACATTTCTCCTTTTCCTCTTAGCCATTTGATCTTGAAGCTCATTGAACTGCATCCAGAAATCCATCAATCCACAGAAGTACCTTAACAGTCCAAAACTGTACGACATCGCTCATGCGGTGTACGAGGGAAGCATCGAAAGGCAGTGGGCACGATGACCGGGCGCGGACGGTTACTACCAACATCATTGGCAGATGGGCTGCGAGAGGGTGCTCGTCATATCTCACGCAACCTTTCCACCAATGAAGACGGAGGTAACCGCACGCCCAGGCATCGTGCCCACTGTTTTAAAATCATTACAGTATACATGGGAAAAAAGAACAAAGCAGAAATATACCTATGTGTGTGTACATAGTAAAGTCTCATTGTTTCCGGTACAACGACGCCCAACTGCAAATCACATTCACGAGTGGGATCTTCCCCCAAATATCTGAATCAAACGGATGCTTTAGGAGTAGACATGAGCTAGGCAGAACAGACTTACTTTACTATTCTGATTTCCGCCTGACTTGGCAGTACATTGTTACCGTCACATAACACAACCCTTTCCGGATAGAGCTCCGAATAACAGGGAGTACGGTCGTCGACCTTCAGCCCATCCAACAATACAGATATCGATAGCACTTCCTTCGGTTGATAAAGAAGCAGCTGAAAAGGCATTCTGTGGATACTTAGAAGTTAAAAGCTAGGGTAAACCATAAAAAGGATGAGGAGTAAAGCCCAGTCTGTTCTGGAATGCGGCACTCTGATTCCTCTTTCATTCAGAAAGATAGTGGCCAATGAATGCGTTACGGCCAATACGATGACTTGCGCGGCCAACAGTGTTTTTTATTCTCTCATACAAAACTGGTATCAATTTACCGAAACCCTAGGGCGGAAAGCTTGGCTGGACGGACGTACGGGAGCCAAGCCGAGATATGACCACCGAAGTGCGTGGTAAGCGTGCCATATGCCAGTAAACCATTTCCGCCTCAAGGCGAACCATGCACGGCACGTCCTGCAGCTGGGGAAAATTTTCGTGAAACACGACCCGCCTGCCCCTTGAAATTCTCCCATCAATGTGGATAGCGCCCGTGAAACATGAAAAATGGACAATCAGAAAATTTCAGCCCAACGATCCCCAGCCTCCAACGACCCAACACGACTTCCTGCTGGGGGTTCCCCATCGTACGACGTGCCCTGAAATCATGTACCACTTGACTGTCAAACCTCAGCAAATACCTGGTACAACAAGAAATATTAAAAACACATTTCGTCAGCCGAAAGCGCGTATGGGCGGAGAAGCAAGCGGAGAATTTCAAGGGAAGTGCTTTCTTCCTTGATGAGACCTTCCGCCTCATACGGTAAAGCTTAGGTTAGGGATGCGCCAATGAGGAAAGCGCGACGGTTCCAAGTCCCCGCCCACCCAATTATCGTGAAATATGAGTTAAAGAGCATGTCCATCCAAAAGAAATCTCAGCACACTCGTGAACTAGTAACAAACTTCGCTAGTAAAATAGTCTCATGTTTCCGTTCTCCTGCAATCTCTGCACGAAATGCAAAATTAATCACAGGATAAAGTTAATAAGCATAAAATAGACGGGCTAGTCGTTCCAAGAACAGTCATTTTCTCGAAACCAAGGATTTCATAGGGTGAAGCGCTTGTCATTTTGGCATTACTCTATACATGCACAAATCAGTGGGCACACGGCTGGGGCCGACGGTTGCCGCTAACGTAATCGCTGGAAGGGCTGAAAGAAGTGCGGCCAAACGCCCTACCGCAGCCCTTCTTCTAATGACGCGGGCAACAACGCAGTAATCGCACCCGCTGCCTTTATTTCAGCTCTAATCATTAGAAACACTGCCATTTCGATCGTTCTCATTTCATGCTGAACTCCTTACCTTCGAGCTCAGGACTGCATTCTCAAGGCGAATGGTGCCCAGACGTGTAGAATTCGCTGGATAATTCATATCTATACGCCATAACCGTGCTCGCACGGAACATCCAACACAGAATGGAGGGTGCTTCGGTTTGATCGTAATGTCTAAAGCAAGCGAACTTGTACTACTCAATAAAGAGCATGATAGGAACGAAACTATCGATGCTCGAAAATCCGTGCGACGCAATGGTTGAAATAGCTACAGACTCATGGATACCTCAAAACAACTAGTCTGCTCATGGTTGTGTGCAAATTACATCTTATTACCTCTAACAATGAATGGCGGTAACTCTCTTATAACTATAACCTTTGAATTTAGTGGCAAGAACTATCAACAAAAAATATCTACAATGCAAGCAAGGCTTGCGTCGGTACATCTCACCTTGTTCCGCATCATCTCTTTCCGTGCAGTCGTCCTCAGTTTCCTCGGTACCCAAAAGACCAGCGAGATCGATCAGCGCAGTCCATGTCCTCCTGTTCATTCCCATATCGAGCTCGTTCAGTTCAATATCGATATCACAGTTCTTCTGGAACATTGACAGATCGGATACTGCACTAGTTTTTCATCCTCCAAACACTTCTGTCTATCACGTGGAGCTAACAAGTGTTGGGACTTTGTTTTTATGTTCTTCCTACTTTCAAATCTGACCTGCATGTAACTTACAGGAAGCAGGTCGCGGCTGACGAATGTACACTGCTTATCCCTGAGATGTAGTAGGCGTGTCATTTCAGAATGACCTACGATGGGTTGCTCGTGGGTATTACAATTTGAGACAGTTGTCATCTTGTTCTGTGTTGGACAAAGATTTGACTACAATAGTCACAAAATGAAAATATTCATTATTTGTTATTTATTTATTTATTTTTCTTTTTTTTATTTGTTATTTATTTATTTTTCATTTATTTATTATTATATTTATTCATTTACTTATTTATATAGAACGAAAACCTTGGCCGCCGCTACGTTCAGTTCAAGCGAGCCGCCTCGCCTATCGCATCTCAGATTCTGAGTGTTAAAGTCGAAGTTTTCTCCTTCCGGTGTGAATCAGCGACCCGTAGGAGTGGAAGAATAGGGTGAGATCAGTGAGAATTGATTCAGGACGTGATCCTGATATCAAGCGTTCAATAGCAGTGCCTTTCAACCAGGGCACGCCATCGCGTTGTGATCATTTCCTGAAAAATACGACCCCCCCTAATTCCATCCTCAAATACGACCCCCTCCCCATGCTACCTACCACTTTCCTAGATTTTCCCAACTTCCTACCATTTTTTCCCGAAAAATTTCTGGTTTTTCCCCAAAATTTTGCTGTCGAGCGGGGGGGGGAGGTCGTCAGGATTTAACTATCATTTTCAACTATCGGAAATAGTAGTTGTATAGATCTTTGGCAGTCCCTCTCAACAACGACCAAATACGCCCCCCCCTTTATAGCGTCCGTGAAACAAGGGAAATCAATATAAAAAAATTTCTCACACCAAATACACCAATGCCCTGCTTACAACACAGTCCCTCCCCTTTCGTTCTTCAAGTCGAAAGGATCTGCTGATTTTCATCAGATGTATATGGTTAGGGGTGAATTGAGTCCCCTACCATCTTCAGGGTACGTCGTGCTTAGGGGATTCTTAGCGAGGGGATCGTATTCGATATTGCGAAACTCCGAAATGTGACAGGAAGTTGAAAAACTCCAGGGTATACTAGGCAGCATGGAAAATGTAGAATGGGGATGGGGGGGGGGGACGAACCGGAGGACGGACCTTTTAGGGGGCTGTATGTTGCAAGAATTTCTTCAACAGCAAGACGTGCCCTGAACATCCGACTGCTTATAATCTGGTCAAGCATGTCTCTATCTATGCGCTTGTGCCTGCGTGTGTGTGTCATGAGATTTACCGCCGCAGAAATAGTGAAGGCGAGACCTCAGAGGAATGGATCCATTTCCGGACTTCCACAGATCTTAAGTTATCCTTCACATATTGGCAACGATGGGGCGACCGCAAATGGAAAGCGATATAGGTACATTAAAAATGTGTTTTGCTCCCTATTCCCTGATCCCTAATAATCGTGTTCCCAAATAATAAGCTATATCCGTTGAGCATGAGATATTTTTTGACACTGACAGCATTATGCTCACAGCAAGCCAAGCAATTTCCGCCACAGGCATCCTATAATAGCATTTGTGCTTATGACAATATTATCTTCCCCACGAAGCCCACCCTTGTTGTCGGAACGTCTCATCCTCTCCTCTGCCACTTACGAATGATGTATTGCCAACAAACACTACTCGGTTCTTGCTTGTCGTTTCTCGCATCTGCTCATATAGCTGTCCTTGGAGCAATGTTAGTTTGCAGTACATTTATATTAAATTTTCTATCCATTCCCAGCCTTTGAGCAGTCGTAAATGTCCTCCAATATCAACAATGAACTCGTCAACAGGCACAAAGGCCTGAGGCCAACGAGAAAGAGAAGATCCTACTACAAAACTCATGTCTGAACTGCCAGAGGAGATGCTCATGAAAAGATGGAAGAATGAGGTGTGCGATACCAGATGAATCTACCTAACTACACAAGAGTTTCCTTTAACATAGTGTAAATTCTTTTCAATTTCTGCCCTGCGATGCGAGCCGGTGGCAGGTTAACAACGAACGAGAATATGCGAGCCCCCTTTTGCATGTAAAATACTCACTCAGTTTCTGATTTGACTCGAATAAGTCACCTGTGTTAGCTCACAACAGCAGGGCACAAATTCGGCGTTGTGATCCATTTCTGAGAATTACGACCGCCCTTTCTTGGGAGTTGGGTACGAATCCGCCCCCCTCCCCTCCAGCCCCTGTCGCTTCCTCTCATCTGAACGTACGCCGTCGAGGGAAGGGTCGTCAGAAATTAAGCCACCATTTTCAAGTTTCGGAAATAGTAGTGCGTCCCCGGACTGACCAAATACGACCCCCCCCTTTTAAGCGTCCGTGAAGAACAAGAGAAAAAACTTTTCTCTGAACCAAGTATCGACCTCCGCCCCCTCTATCTCGCGCCTCCAATACGGACCCCTCCCTTGTTGAGATCAACAACGATAGTCGTAGCCCTTGCTCACTCAGAAGCTGACACGCCTTGCATGGCCACCTTACGAAGCAATAGAAGATTACGAAGGACTGCGATCTATAGAGTGTTTTTCAAAGGCACATCTCGCAATTACCTGAAGGTTGGGTAGGCTGGTTTCACTCTCCGTAAACGATGAGGCAAATCTGTAGTAGGGGGAAAATATATTACGCTCGCCGTTTACTCCGTTTTTGGCGGTTATCTTTCTGCTGCCACGTTTCTTCGAAGGCAAAACTATCATCGTTCACTTTTGGAACCCTGGTCCTCGAAACAACTTTTCCACGGTGAAACGTTTCTTTCAACTGCGTCATCTTACAATTCTCAACAAATGAACCAGCATGCGAATTGGAGCGCAAGGTCGACTGGAAAGATTCATGATTTCTTCGAGTCTGGATTAGTCCGCATTGTGACCGATTATGGTGATTTGGCCTCGTCTAGTAGGTTTATCGCTTCCATGGCCTTAAACACACATAGTCTTTAAATAAAATTTACGATTTCCATTCCATTTATCTGCAGAAGGCGTTATATGACGTTCTATTACCCCTTTTACTGTTCCACACATTTTTCCCCAGTGGCACCCCAGTTTCCCGCTAATGTTAGAAAGGCCATCCAGCAGCGGCGTATACGTGCAGTAGAGAAATTCACCATCGATTAAACTTGAAACCCAATAACTCGATGCAGCTTCTTGTAAACTACACATCCACTTCACACAGGACCCGAAATCCGAGCACTCGGTTGGATATTTTGTGTTTTTCGAGCCGACAAAAGTGAAAGAGCTTTTTTTTCACAAAGCATGTTCATGACTCATGAGCAATTTTCAACGAACGCTTATGACAGAATCAAATATTGAAGGAATGATAGCGTCCTGGCTTTGATTCATTCAATTTTGAGATTAGCGTCCGTCCATCGAAGTTCCTACCTCCCAGTCCGGAATATAACAGCCAGTCCCTGAATTGTGAACCCGCACACCGTAATCGCTTGCTATTCTATTCTATAAACCAGTAACTTTGTGTGTCGGTTTGTATGTTTGTATGTAGGTTTGTATGTATGTATGTTTGTCTGTCCGTCCGCACAATACTTCACGGGTTCAAGTTCGCTGGAGGCGAAAACGACCGCTAGGCAAACCGGTAACCGACTGGGAGGATATAGCAATCCAATGTTTTGATCGTGATATCGGCCTCCGCTATATAAGACAACCATTCGGTACACTCCGAGCCATTGCACGAGCTGCTGGCGTGGCAGCTGGACGTGTGCTCGTGCGGGGGCAGGGTGGGGTGGGGCCGAGAGAGGGGGGGGCACTGGGCGCCCCCCCCTCTGCTTCCTTCCCTTGCGCGTACTCAGCCCGGCCTGAGCATGCGCAAGAGAAGGAAGCAGAGGGACGGTCCGATTGGAACACTGGGGCGTTTTTTCAAGGTATGATATAGGTTATGGCACAGGAATATGTGGGTGACAAGAACTGCTAGCCGCTGATAAAGGGAGTTAGAGTGGAAAGGACAACATCCCATTAACGCGGTTAACACAGTCATCAAGTTCAGCGTTGGTTTGCAGCAAATTGATGATGCAGGGAAGGTGGAATGCGACTGGCTGGGACAAGATAATGATAACAGCATATACTTTGATAGAGAACGATTGCAGTGTTGTTGCAAATCAATACCTGTAGAGCCTCTACACCACGAAATTATGGAGTTAGTGATAGCGACATTGATGACGAGTGACAAGCAATTTTATCAATTGATAAGTAAAGATAAGGGGACATTTTCACGACATCTCTGACCACTACACTGCTGAAAAAGCCTCTCAGTAAGCGAAATTTTCCCACAGCCATCACTCCTTTGATAGCACTAGAAAATGTACTCATCCCACTATCCTTCTATTCTATAAACCAGTAACTTTGTGTGTCGGTTTTGGTAATGTATGTATGTTTGTATGTATGTTTGTCTGTCCGTCCGCACAATACTTCACGGGTTCAAGTTCGCTGGAGGCGAAAACGACCGCTAGGCAAACCGGTAACCGACTGGGAGGATATAGCAATCCAATGTTTTGATCGTGATATCGGCCTCCGCTATATAAGACAACCATTCGGTACACTCCGAGCCATTGCACGAGCTGCTGGCGTGGCAGCTGGACGTGTGCTCGTGCGGGGCAGGGTGGGGTGGGGCCGAGAGAGGGGGGGGCACTGGGCGCCCCCCCCCTCTGCTTCCTTCCCTTGCGCGTACTCAGCCCGGCCTGAGCATGCGCAAGAGAAGGAAGCAGAGGGACGGTCCGATTGGAACACTGGGGCGTTTTTTCAAGGTATGATATAGGTTATGGCACAGGAATATGTGGGTGACAAGAACTGCTAGCCGCTGATAAAGGGAGTTAGAGTGGAAAGGACAACATACCCATAACGCGGTACACAGCATCAGTTAGGCGTTGGTTTCAGCAAATGATATCAAGGGGAAGGTGGAGAAT